ATAATAAATCCAAAATGACACACAAGCATGTAGAAACAAGGCTGAATTAGTAAAAAGGCTGCAAAACAGTGAAGTGAATTAGCGTTCATCTCATTTAAAGGCAAAACTGTTTTAGAAGTGAAAGACCACAGCATCATTTATTAAAAAGCACCAAAGCCTAGAGATAGCTTTTATTGACAAAGTCTTAACAGCACAGTCTCTCATACTGGTGGAATTAATCAGCAAGCCCTGAAGTCTATGCTAGACATCTCTTACATATTCGAAGTGACAACGAAGTGACGATGTTGGCCGACTGAAGCTCCTCTGGGTGCAGCCCTGTCAAAAGCAGACCCACCTCCCAACACCTTCATTAGGGTTGGTGAACTTGTTAGTGAAGAGCGCTGTGCAGTAGCTGGACCAGAGCTTTCACAAGCTAGAGTGCACAGCAAGGTAGGGGGTGGAGGCGTTCACATCCACCGGTTCCAATTTTGGAGCTTATGGGCCACTCTAGGTAATTCAGCCATGTCAAGTTGCCTTTCAGCTCCTGGGTGAACACGCTCTCTGTAAGTTGTTAGTGACCATGTGGTGTGCCTGGGTTTCAGCTATCTATGACCAGTTTAAGATACTGATGTGTCTGCAGATGCCTGTCTCTCTTGCACGCTCTTACCAGATTGTGCCAGCTTTCCTACTGTAACTTTCAGTGCAAATGTACTCTTTGATACTTTCTTCTCTCCAAATTTCTTTAATACACCAAGCAAGGATGCACGGGGTCTTTGGCAGACTTTTGCTCTTTTCTCCTATTGGGTCAGAATGATGCTTAGAACCAGATTTGATTCCATCTGCTAGTTGCTAGTTTTTTTTTTTTTTTTTTTTTTTAGAATGTATTTGTGCAAAATTACACTCCTTTCTAGCCTGTTCGGATACAGGTCAGCTTTCTGAGGTTCGATCTCTTGTTTCCAGCAATGTTCCTCACATTTCTACTTAGCCACATTGGCTTCCTGTTATCCTTTTGTGAGCCTCTCCTAATGGATAACAGACACTGGTCCTGTCTGAGCAGCACATCTCCAAACGCTCGACGGAATCTCACCTCCTTACATAACAGTTAACTTTTCTTGTAAAAATGAGAATGATTTTTATTTACTCTATCTGTTAAGCTGGGAAAACATGTTAACTCTGTACACTAGTGTAACTAGGATGTGTGTAAAGCTACTGTATTTTATGTCCTCACAAGAATAATGGGAATAAACAAAATTGTGAACCACAAACTCTACAGTAAATGTTGAAGAGAGAACAGTACAGCTAAGCTGCAACTTACTGGGGCAAGAACGCACTGAATTAAACTTACTCTAGATTAAAAAAAAAAAAAACTTTTTATGTTGTAACAGAGAAAAAAGATTAATCTAAAAAATCACAAACTAAAAAGGGAACAAAAACCCCATCCTCCTTCTAAAAAATTCTTATAAAATAAAGTGATGATCTTGTTGTAATCTTATCTAAGATCTGCAGCTACCAAAATTTTATTATTCTTAAGTCGTAAGGCCCTAGGACAGTAGCTATCCATTTGATTTCATTGTGAAGACTTTTACTGAATTACACTCTTTACTTTATAACTCTGTTTAGAGATGATCTGTATGCATTTCATGCAAGTTTTTCAGTTTATTAGAAAAGGATGAAATGTTGTTATTACATGCCAAAATGTTGCATACCAAAATAAAACTGGTTAAATTTTTCATTTAAATAGTGTCTGAAATTTGTACACAAGCAAAAAGGCAGGAGAAAAAGAGAGTATTACAGTAATGAGAAGTTAGATTTTGATGCCAGAAAACAGAAACAGCAGTTGAAGTCATGTTTCGACTAATGAATGCAGTGTTCACTGTTACTGTCAGTCTCTGAGAACTAATGCCATTATGGTTATATACAACCATAATTTATACTAAGAAAATCATTAGAAAACACAAAGTGATGCATAACAGGATTACAGAATTTAGGGAATAAAAAGTGAACCCATATATTATCTGAAGAGCATCAAATTAAAAAATCCATTTTTTAAAGTGAGGAGAGTTCATTTCCACATTAATAAATATTTATTTAGGATATGTAAACTAGAAGACATCTATTTTTCATTCTGCTCACTTTGTCGTACCAGGTCTTTTTTTTTAGTTTTTCTCTCCTTTTTTAGCCTAAGGGCCATTCTATAATTCACACTGTCTCCTACACTTACACAATAAAACTCTGTACTGAGCATTTAGCCATGCTGGTGAAGTGGTTTTAAGAGGACTTGATTTGAGCTCCATTTCAAGCTAAAATAATCACTAGAAAAGTAGACATGCTTAAGATCTTGATGAGTTACTTAGTGAGTATATATACACAGCAGTAGCAAAACTACCCTGGGGATTTGTGTTCTTGGACACTGAAGTGGATATAGGTAAGACAAAAGACAGTAAATTTTGCTCATTTTCCCTTGAATTTCTTCCATTAACCCACAACAGGAGACAGCTAGAAAACCTGCGCCCAACAACTGAAGTCAGACCGATGCGTTTGTACACGTACATCCTCTCCCAAGATAGCACGGCCTGACCTGAAGAACCCAAGTAGCTCTGCAGCCTGCCCTGCACCACCCGCTTTCTTCTACTTGTTAGATTAAGAGATTGGTTGAAAACAGGGATCTCTGTGTTGACACACATAATACTACCATGTTAGCATGTGGTCAGAACTTTTCACCATTTCAATTATGTTGCCCTTTTAAACGTAGTTGACTTTAGTACAACTATTTTAATCTTCTTTTAATCTTCTCTAAATACAAGTGCTTTGATTTCTCAAGTTTTTTAGCCATTTTTCTTTTGCTGTTGTTTCTTGGAGTTCAGTTATCCTTTAACTCTGTGCAACAAATGTCTTCCATTCTATTCTGTCAGTCAGTATGGAAATGCAAAATTTCAAAACAATGCTAAAATTTTGTATTTTATAACTGTTGGGGCCTTACATATAACAATAAAAAACTATTTGAAAATATGGCAAAGAAATAAGCAGCTCTAACAAAAAAGAACCAGGATAATTTGGTCTAGTATCAGCTGTCAAATGTATTTTCTCCCATAATGACCATTCCTTTTCCCACAAATAGTTATACTTCGTGTTAAGAACTCATTGACACCCACTTTAGCACTATTTCATTTATCATATGGAAACAATTGAGGTGAAAAGCCTCAAACAATCATTATCTGTCTGAAGTAATAAAATATCCTTTAAAGATCAAACATGAAGATGAGATGCAGGCTTTTATTTTTTGATAATATACTGTAAGACATGATTCCATGAGTTCATTTGAGAAAGGGTACACCACTCCAGCAAATGGATACATTTCTCTCTTCTGCACAGCCAAAATTCAATATTGTTTTTAATAGGAGAGATTATTCTATTTCATTTGCTTTCTCTGTTTAGGAATGGAATAAGAGAAAAAGAGAAGAAAAAGAAATGTAATATCCTTTCCATCGGCCTGTATCACATGAAAAGGGCCATGCTAATGAAATCTTCCATCAGCAGTATCATTGCATGCTGCTGCATTTATAACTATGTTATTTTTGCAGCTTCTCAAATGATTCTTGCACGTTCCCTGATTTTTCTACAAAGACAAGTGTTGTCAAGAAACATAAAATGTTTCTGAATCCTTTTATACATAAGCACAGCATTAGCCACACATTCTACAAATATCCCCCTTTCCTTCAGCCCACAACAAAAACACCCTACACCTTCATTCTTCTGCCCTGTTGCTAATCCATAACAACTTCATAGTGGATCTCATTGGGATTTCAGCCATACTATCGACTATCAGCACAAATGAAATAAATTCATCTTTTTAAAGGACCATCATCATCTTCCATCTGCAAAGTAATAAGGTTTTGAAACTTACATTGAAGAAAAGAATCATTTTTGCTTGATGTGGATACATGGGAAGAAATGTCACTGACTTGCATTAGTGAAAGTGACAATTGTCCAGTACATGTCAGTCCTCAACCCTAATGTCAGCATCAGATCAAAAGCTGGATTTTTGATGATAACAAATTATCAGGGTAGTTTTGCTGTTGTTGATGGAAAGTATCCAAGAGATAATTGCATATTATTTATTATATGCACTTTTCATTTAAAGTTGTCAAGATTTCATTGGAACTCTTGGTTACTTGGAACTCAAAGGTCAATTCATTTTTTTTATGATAAAAAGCATTAGTCCTGGCTTCAACGGTTCTATACTTTCATCCACTCTCTTTCACTGCTTGTTGACTAACCATGGTTTAGTCATCTCCATGTTTCAGTTTGCCAGTGGTAAGGTAATATCCAATTTTGATATGCTGGGAAGGTAAAAGGCAATTGGACAGAAGTCAAAACTGCAGAAGCATAAAGCACTGCACTTATTATTTCATTTGAAGCTCTCTGCATAACTTGGAAACCTGGTAGCAATAATTTTTCATATAGAAAGAAAAATTACTGTTTTCCATCACTAAAGCGATGACAAGAGAGCAGGCAAAATGTCATCCAGTGAATACTTTCTTCTGGAGAGGCTAAATTCTACCCCTAAAAAAAATTTGCTATCAACAGCACTTGTAAATCTTAAAGAGTTCTGGGAAAATCATCACATATGCAACCAGTGTCAACTTACAAGTGAGGGATTAAGCATCATCATAACTAGTTTTTAATAACTAGTAGTTAAAGATTTCATTAAGCAGTCAAATTTACATTTCTGAAATACAGCGTGAAATGGTAGTATTTTTTAGGCAACATGAGGGAAAAAAAAGCATCAATTTATTTCCACACACATGAACTGTGGGGTTTTGCTCATCTAAACAAACAGTGTGAGATCTAGCCCACACTACTGATATTTACAGAAATTTTATTGTGCTTTTCCTGTCAGGGTTATGCTTTTCAACCTGATTCCCGCAGCACCATTTTCAAACTTGTCATATCAAGAATATGATCTTCCCAAGGAGGAGTGGGTAAACAGTGCCTCATTTCACAAGAAGAGCTTGATTTACCTTGTGGAAGTTCCTGAAGTATGCTGCCTTCTCATCTGGAAATTTTTCTAGCCTCCTGGGTCCTTTGCTAGAAGCCTTCTTGAAAACCAACCAACATCGTCTGAAAATCTGCAAATAAAATCAACAGATTCCATTAGCTTTTCTTTAGAGGTGAAAATTATGAACATTCAGTTACCTAATTAACCTAGCAATATTTCATTTTAAAAGCTTGAAAAACTCTGAAGAAATCTATTATTTCTATACTACTAATTCTTCAATTCATAGATACCAATTAGTCTCACACTTTTGTAGACTTGTAAAGACTACTTTCCTTCAATCTCTTTAATGTGTGCCAAATTTGACAACTCCTGACACGCAAGAAAATCCATAAACTTTGAAAGAGAAAAGAGTTAAAAGGTGGTCATTATAGAAAGGGTATTTAGAAATTGCTCCATGCATTTCTAGCTTTCACATTTACATTCTGTTTCTATGACAGTGTCAATACCATTGAGAAGCATTTAAATTAATTGCAGCTCTGATAGCAACACAGTAGTCAAGAGTTAGTACAATCTTGTATGCACAGGATAGAAAGTACCAAGTAGAAATAAGCATCAGTGTAACCACTGCTAGACAACTACAGCTATTTCTCTCACTATAATTAGATAGTTTTCTAAGGAAAGCTATGCAGATTATTAAAGTTTGGCAACATGTATCAAAACAAGCAAACAAACAAAATAAACCTCCACGATGATCAAGAAATCCCAAAACAAAACAGTAGTAGCTCATTCTAATAAAGATCACACTAGAATTTGCTTAAAATGCATTTTCAAGCAAAAGGGATATTTTATTAGACTTCTTATCAAGACTTTGGTGGTATAGCTGTAACTAAAAGTTTAAATAATCAGGACTGAGTTACCAAACTCATCTGCAGTTCACAGAGAAGCTGATAAAGGATAATCTGCTAGACTTTGCTATGGAATGAGAGGATTAGAAATTAATCTGGATTCATAATCTATGACATTATTTTACTTAATTCTCCTCTTTCACCGCTTGCACCACTCATACCCTACACAACTTTACATGATTATTTCAAGAAATGTGCTAAAAAGAAAAAATAAAATACACACAAATAATACACACAAAAAAATCAAATGCTAGGTAATGGTTCTGCTGTCCTCATGTGGACATGAACCATATTCACTGAGGAAGTCTACAGAATTTTATGACGTGATATAAGTCATATGATTACACCACTATTCAGTTTGGATTGGTTCAAACACAACAACAAATATGGGCAGAGCACACAAAGCAGAAGATTTTTCCCCTCATTGTGCAAGGCTGCTTAAACTGAGCATAAACAGAAAATGTCACTGAAACCATCAGGTTTAATTAAGTACATTCTAATATAATAATACTGCCAACATCCTGCTGTTATTTTCTCAGATGAATGTTAGCAATAAAACCAAGTGTTTTCCTCTACAAACCCTACTAACTGAACTACAGTATCAGTAGTTTTTAATTATGAAGATACTTAAGAAGAAAAAGAAATGCAATGACATTCAGCAAACATACTTCTTACATAGCAGGAAACATTCCTTTATTAAGGTGGTCAAGTGACATTTCTACCTCCTACCTCTACTTCACATTTTGGGAGAAAAAAGTGTTTCTGTTTCTATCTTACTAGATTCAATAGCACCAATGACAAAGAAGGCCCACTTATTTAACAAGCATTACTTATGCTTCTTAAAGCTTGAAACATTTTCCTCTTCTAGCAATATTCCTGACTGTTCTGGGATCTGAGTTTTAGTATATGGGTATTTTCAATTCATCTCTCTTCCTCTGAGGAGGGTCTTTTCTTCAGAAAAGGTAAAAATTGCTGCTTTCACTTCAGATCTGTTATTGATTTCCTTCTTTCTATTACCCACCCATAACGGTTTGTGGTCCTTACATATGCTTTATGAGGAGACTAGATCAATCTACAGGCCTCCATCATCAGTCATAGCAAGTTTTAACACAGCCATGGAATCCACGTTTTACAGATGACCTGAACCTTGGACAGATAATTTTGAACAGCAAGGTAAGAGTCAAACAACTCACAGTAGCTTTTTTGTTCAATTTCTTTTTTTTTTTAAAAAAAAGTCATTTCTTCATTTCATTTCATGAAAACATAATATATTAGTTAGACCTAGGGCATCTAAAGTGTGCCTAACAAATGGAAAACTAGACAGCCTAAATCAAGGAGTCAGAGTGAGAACATTCCCTAGATAAAAGGTCCCGTAGCAGAGGTCAAAGCAATTCATTCAGTGATAAACAAGTAGGGTCTTCTGAATAACAACTTCAGGCTTTTCTGACTGGATGTCAATCTGAGCAAGTTTTGGAAGTGCAGGCAGGGTTTGAGGGTTCGCCAGAAGTTGACAGGCAGGCTTTAACCTCTCATTAGTGAAGGCTTCAGCATATCTATCCATGAAGGCTGCGTATTACCTATACTTACAGATGCTCCTCCTTAGGCTCATCCCTGAGATCTGGCATTAGGGTGACTTGGCAGCATTTTGTGACTTGGGCTTCAGTAGATGGGGGAGACAGGGAGCAGTGAACGATCTTTAGATATTAAGGAAAGAAAGAAAAAAAAAAGAAAAAGGAAAGATGTTTTCCCTTAATTCTGTTACTGCTTCATTTATCATTTACATTTTAATATTTTGCAGATGCAGACAGACAGGAGATATGAAGAATGCAATGGCTTCATCAGATCTTCTGATTTGGTATGTACATACACAAAGGGACGTCCTTGCATGCGGATTTTTTTGCAATCACTTTTTTAAAGCTGGTATAATCATGTACAATTCCACCGGACTTAAGCGAATTTTTATCTGATTACACCAACAGGCACTTTCTATCACAGTGTTTGAAAACACATTATGAATTCACCCATAAATATGAATAAACAGGTGCAGATGTGTGCACACAGCAAGCAAACATTTGCCTTTCATAAGGCTCCTCACTGTTATATGAAACCCTCCTCAATTATTCACAACTTGTGTGTTATCTTTTTATTCTTGGCCTAGTTTAGGATGCTGGTGGCTATAATCAAAACTTCTGAAAGACTTAAAAAGCTCTCGGATAATTGGAGTAGCGATGGTCAAAGAATTCAGCATCAGCCCTTTAACAATAGAGAGAATGGCAGCCATTTGCAAGGTGGTCCCCATAAAATTCAGTATTTCCTGTGAAATTTAAGGGTCCCTTTTTCATGCACGTAGCATTAAAGAATTGTCAAATATTTGATCTTTTAATTGGTATTACTGCATTCTTGGAGGAGCACTCACTTCTCAAAGGAAATGATCTTATAATTTTGTACTGAATGCAAACAACACAGATGACTTCTAACTATGTACTATTGCTTTTCCTCAGGGCAAGTCAAAATGGTAGTATTAAGTGCACGCTTTCCTTTTCCTTTTCTTTCTGTTATTAAAATATAGATTATAATGAACATTATGGATTATAGATTATAAAGAACAGCCCCTAAACAACTGTTCAGTGCAAACCCGAGAAGGATTCTGCTGAAATGGCCTGCTAACTTCATGGACCAGCAGAATCTTTTCTAATCTTTTCTAGTAAGAGCTTTTCTCTCTCAGTTTTACTTGACTCATAACTGAGCAAAGCAGTAAAAAGAAGAGATCTTCTAGATCCTACTACAAATGCATTTGTGGATCAGTAAGCACACACATGGTCTGGAGAGAACTATAGGATTTGATCCTAACAATGTCACACAGTAATGATTCTTATAACGATGTATAAACCCACAGGAGAGTAGAGTCTCTTTTACTACAGAGTAGCTTGTCTCATAGCAAGAGAAAAAAAATCTGGATTTCTATCAGTATAACCTTATTATCCCAACATAATTTCTGAAGCCTTTTTAGTCAAGAATTCCACTTTCTATCTACTATTCAGATATCCCCTTTTATGTTTTACTTAATAAAAAACTGTAACAGATCAAGTCATGATGAAAATCTGCACTTAATCTTCTCTGCTTACTTCTTCTGTTTCATGCATGTCTCCACTCAACTTGCTAGGCTCTCAGAATTTCTGTTCTTACCATTTAATATTCTTGACAAATCTATGGAAGTGTCTGGACTCTGACTGAATCATTATTTTTTATGCTGGTATCTGAGTTCTGTTTCATTGTTACCATGGTTATTCATAATAAAGTCATTAAAAGACATATTACAGGAAATCCATGGACTATATTAGTTTTCTAAAAGGAAGGATAACTTTTTCCTCTTGTAAAATATATTAAAATAATTGACTATTATGTGAACCTTACCTACGAGCTTCCATTTTCCAGAGATTTCTAAATCCTTTTCCTAGATATTTGCAAAAGATACTGTCAAAATTCATATATGTATTCATGCACAGCTGTAAGTAATAACAAAGCTTTACTAGTCAACACTAATATCTACAGAAGGATTTTTTAATAGCAAGTTTCTCCCTAAAACAGTTCAAATTTCACCTCACATTCCCCAAACACCCACAAACCTCTAAACTACTTGCCTCATTTTTAAATAATCTTGTCAAAAAAAAAGTTAAAATGATCTGAAAAAAAAGAGCATATGCATTGAAGATATCTTGGAAATACACTTTCCTTTGAGATATCCCTCTTACCTAAGGAATGGCAATTACTTTATCAGGCATTTTGAACAACTACCTAATTTTCTGTCAGCAGCTGGAGAAACAGTTATGTCTTTAAAGAAGCAGCAGTGAGTCAGATCCTAGCCACCAGCAGAAAACATTGCTGAGCAGAACAGATGAAACTGCCAGGAGATAGGTATAAAAACACCAAAGCATGAAAAAAAGACAAAGTTACTATATTAGTTATCTTAATTAAAAGATGGATATTGATTTTTATGAGGTATGTGAGGGGAAAACCCTATGTTGTAAGCAAATAAAACCTGAAGTACCCTTCATAATAATGGATATATATGTATATATACTATATAATAATGAAAATAATTACCAGAATAAAGTCACATTTAGCAAACGTTATACCACCCACCATTTTTTTATTTTTCTGTGCATATTTGCTTCAGGGGGGGTACACACTTGAGGCATCGCATATGTAAATAAAAAGTTAAGAGAAACAGGAAAACAGTTACTACCTTCAGTGAAAAGACTGAAAAGGAAAAGGGGAAGACAAAACCATTTATGTCTCACCTCAAAAGCAAGTTACAGGATCTAATGATGAGTAAAGCCTTAGAGAAAAATAAAGAAAAAAACCCCACAAAACTCATGGGAATCATAGAACCATAGAATCATAGAATTGTTAAGGTTGGAAGGGACCTCTAGAGGTCATCTAGTGCAACCCCCCTGCACACGCAGGGTCACCTAGAGCACGTGGAACAGGGTGGCGTCCAAGCGGGTTTTGAAGATCTCCAGAGAAGGAGACTCCACAACCTCTCTGGGCAGCCTGTTCCAGTGCTCTGTCACCCTCACTGTTAAGAAATTTTTCCTTAAGTTCCTGTGGAACTTTTGGTGCTTCAGTTTGTGGCCATTACCTCTACTTCTGTCGGTGGCCACCACTGAAAAGAGGCCAGCACCATCCTCCTCACTGCCTCCCTTGAGGTACTTATAGACACTGATTAGATCCATCCACTTGAGTTAAGAATGCTTTCCACTGCAAAGACTCAAAAGTATTGCTGTGTCAAGGACCTCCATTCCTCCTGTGCGCCCTGTTTTCTGCGCATCTTCAAAATTAGGATGCTCTAGAAACAGTGATTTTCCTGTCTCAAAAAGCACAGATCCTTCTTTCTTTTTTCCTTTTTTCCCCTTTTTTTCTTTCTTTTTTTTTTCTTGAAATACATTTCTTTAAAAACATCTAGCATGACCGCTCCAACGATCGGATACATTTTAGGCGGCAAACCTGCCAGCTGGGAGACCAAGTGCTCTCAGCCACCGTGGCCCCCAGTTCGCAGGCTAGCGCAGCGAGGCTGCAGGGAGCCCCAGCCAACGCCGCTCCCCACAGCTCACCGGCTTCCCTGCAGGTGTTTGCCCCATATCTGTGACCCCTCTTCAAGCAAGATTAGTGGAGGCAAAGCCACCTCACAGCCTCGTTCAGGAGCAGGAGATACCGTCTTCTGCCCCTCTCCATTTCAACACATTTTCTTCAAACTTGAACAAAACAACCATCACAAAGCGGCTGCAGTAAGAGCAGAACTGTTCAAACTAGAAAGCCAGGACTAGAAGTTCACCGCCACAGCCCTGTTGATGTCATTAGTAAACACCAAAAGTGCCCGAATGTGTGTTATGGACAGTGTTAAACAGGCATGGGCTCATCATGTACAATAACCTTGCACTTTCTCTTGAGCTTCATCTCATCATCCTAATTAGGAAGAAAGGTGACACCTCTACTTCATCAATCTTGCTCTATAACCTCCTGCAAGGTTACAGAGGACAGCTACACCTTAGATAATTTCAGTGTCACAGTTCAAATCCTGAGGTTTTAATAGCACTTTTTTAGTATTTTTTGTAGTTTTGCTTTGTTTTCCTTCCCCTCCCCTTTAGATTGTGAGTGTGCTGGCATTTGCAGCTAGGAACAGAATTACAGAAACATCTGCTGCAAACTGTTTTATCACAGATTAGATCAGATCTTGTGGACTTGATTGCAGTCAGGGAGAATTAGGATGGATAGAGAGAGATGAGTAGGGACAATTCACCCAGTTCTAGAGCGCGTGTGTGTGTGCGCGCACACATGTCCCATTTTTCATATACCATAATTTATTGTGTTATGGTCACCAGCTATATATGTTATCCACAGAAAGATTTATTTTATTATTAGAGAGTACCGTGAAAGTACCTCATGGTGATGTTCCAACTATTCCTATGTTAACTAAACTGCTGTGTGTATAAACAATTTAGCTATGGAATCATCAGATATACTGTTCACATAGTTAGTGTTTTTATATACAGAAAATAAGGACAAATATGTGCAGGGACTTGCATGAATGCTTCTGAGAAGTGGTCTATGCTTATTAATCCTTACGCACCCCCAGCTTAAAAACTCAGCATTATTTTATTGTGCTGTGGATAGCCTGTCCAAAGGAGGATTTGTCTAAATAATACACTCAGACATCAAAGCAGTCTCTAAATCAGCAGAATTCATTCTTTATATTTAAATTGACGTTACAATTAATTAAAAAAAAAAGACAGCTGAAATAGCCTCTTTTTTTTTGGCTTTTCTCAGTTTAGCCAAGAATAATCGAAGGTTTTTTTTTCTTTGGGGGTTGGGGGAGGGCGAGAATAACTTCTACTGTTTTCTTCATAGAGCAGAAGAGTTAAAAAATAATGATCATAAAAAGTTAAAGAGTACCTACAGAGAAAGATACTGTTTCATTTCATTCTAACACTGAACAGCTCTGTCTTACTTCAATCATTTAAGACCTGTTTCTGGGTGGAAATATCAAGTTTTTCCACTTTTTACAAAGTTTCCCTTTAATTAGTGACAAATAAGCATGAAAATGATAGACCACAAATAACTGTTTGAGATTCCACAATGGAAACTAATAGTTATGGAATAAAAGTTACTCCCTTTATAGAATAAATGTTACAATCACATGATAATATATTGAGGTAATAGAAATACCACCTCAGTATTACTTATTTTTTGATTACATATGAACTTATAATGTTGAAATATCATATCTTTTATATATATTTTGTACACATAGTAATTCATTGGTTTATTTCATAAAAAAAAACAAAAAGATAAAGGCTCTTTCTTTACACACACACACACAAAAACTGATCGAGAGAACCAGACAAGTTATGGTTGCTGAGATAGTTTTCATCTTTAAGACCTTGTAATTCAAAATTCAAACCCTTACAGATAATAAAAAATAACACACATTGAAAGATCATGACTATTTACTGAGATGCTAAGTACTGTCTGTCTAAGTACTGTCCTGTCTCAAAGACAGGAATTTATGAATATACAGGTTACATAATCAAACCCTTTCAATACCAAACCTTAAAACAAAGGGGAGCTTCTGAACAGAACAGTAATCATAAATATCTGCTCTAACCTACTGAAGAACCAGGAAAAAAAAAGTAATTTTTACATGTTCAGTTTAGATACTTATAAGCATACATTGAGCTTTGGAGTCAAAATTATCCTTTAGATTTCCATCAGCTGGAGTTCCACTGCATTTATTCTTTTTTCTGTGTTATCACACACACTTGTCTTAGCAGAGATATCACTGTATTAAGATGCAGTTGTTTTGACTGACAAGAAAGGTGCAAATAATGTGCTTAGCATGCAATTGAAAAAAGTCAAGCACAGCACTAAGTCTAAGACACTTTCCACAAAGATTAAAAAAAAAGTGAGCTGAATGTAACTGCCACTGCATATTTATGATTTACATAGTTGTTTTATTTCCAACAGCAATTGGTTCTCAAAACAGAATAGGAAAGACAGTCTTTTATTGCTGTATATGTTGTGTAGTTTCAGCATATATCTAGAAAATCTTGCAAAACTAACCACACTGATCTGCACGAGAGCTAATTGTAATCTGTAGGTGCCACTCAAATAAATACTTGGTCATTAACCGAAGTGTGCATACATGTTGCAGGGTATGCAATATGCATGCTCTGACTCTCCTTTTAGGATATCCTGGTATGTCTGCTGTAGAGTTTATAGAGTAAAAGAACATTTATATGAGGGGTGTACTGCAACATGAAGCAGTAAGGCTGCTGCAGGACCCTACACTGATCAAGAAGGCATATCTAATATCAGTGGTTTCTCTTGACTTTGTCAGCTGCCTTATGCATAATGCTCTAAGTCACAAGAGTTTAAGAGGAAGATGTATGCAGGCAGAAACATATGGCTTGCTTTCTGACATTCTACTACTTATTTTAGACTAATTCCTAGAAAGTCTCTTCTTAAGGATGTAGCAATCTGCTACAACAATGCCATCAGCTTGGCGCTAAATAAAGAAGTAATTCAAAGGAAGAATAAGATGAGAAAATGAACACTTTTACAACAAAACCAAGAAGATTTGGAAGAAAGTGCTACTGTTGTTAGCACTCCGTAACTAGCAGTATTGGCTATGATCAACTTTGTGACAATATCTTTTAGAGGCAGACAGGGACAGTTTTTTTTTTTTTTTTCCAAAGGAAAGTAGCATGTAGCAAGATCTCCAGTGCAGCTGGTGTGTTGTGTCCCCAGCCAGGATGTGCTGTGGGACACAAATCATATTGTGTTACAAGCTCAGGAAAATTGGTCTCACCCCACATCCAGACTTTTCAAATCCAGAGGGCCACTCCAAATTCCCTGCTCTGCACATGGGCTGAGTCTCAAAAAAGGTCCACACTGGAAGTGTTGAAGTGTTGAGGATTCACCCCAGGTTTACCCAAACATGACCAGGGATGCCATGTTCCAGCATTTCAGCATGCTTTGGTTCAAGCCCAAAAAGTACCACTGATGGTATCAGAGATTAGCTGCAAAATTCTTGCCTTGAGAGAAGATTACCATTCCGCCAAGACAACACATTATTAATATGGGAAAATAGAAGGAATCCTGTAATCACTTTCCCTGATTATTGATCATTTGAGAAGAATCTGTAGGAGATAATCCTTTACGGGCTCTACTTCTACAGCCACTACCAGTGGGGAGAGGGAAATGACTAGTTTGCCCAGCTCATGCCCATATTTTCCAATATGCACATCAGCTGTATGGAAATTCAAAACATCTTGATTTCTGGTGCCTCCTGAAAGGAAAGGAGAGAAAAACAAAAGTATTACAGCATTCCAAATTAAGTTTAATGGACATCTTGTGATACACTATACAGAGTATAAACATCTACCATCTCAGATCAATATTCAGACCCTCTTCTTACTTGAGTCTTTAATAGTGCACACACGTGCAATGGCAGAAAGCAGCCTGGTTTCCAAAACTGCTGCAATCATCTCAGCTGGAAGACCTGAAGTTCTATTGCAAATTTGTATTCTAAAAATCAACACAACCTCCATTAATCCACAATAATTCCTCAGCCATTCAGCCTGCCTTTGGCATTTGACTAGGACTTGCCTTGGACTCTCCAGTAGGTCAAGAACAGTTAAAGATATGGGGCTGCCTAGGACTGAACTGAACAAATGGAGAAGCCAACAGGATCACAGGATCATAGAACCACTATGGTTGGAAAAGACCCTCTAGATCATTGAATACAACTGTAAGCCCCTGAAAACCAGGCGCTAAACCAGGTCCCTGAGTGCCTCATCTTCCCTGGGCAGCCTGTTCCAATGTTCAACTACTCTTTCCATGTAGAAATTCTTCCTAAATTATTCCTAATGTCTAACCTAAACCTCCCCTGGAGCAATTTGAGCAATCTGTTTATTCAAAAAAACAGAGTAAAATAGCTCTCTTATTAAGCAATCATTCCATGCAAAAGGTCAGGAGAAAACTATACTTGCAAAATAAAATTTGCAGATTGTATGGAAAATATTTAGTGGGATTAATAAAATAATTACTGTAGCTTTATTAATAGCTACAGTGAATAAGAATGTACCATGTACTATCAAGTGAAAATGCTGCCAAGATCTGTATAATACAGAGACTGCCAGAGAATGGATTAAATGTTTTGCTTTTTTATGCTTCATTATTATAAAAGTGAAATAAGACGTGTATTATAAGCATTTCTTCACAGATAGTTTCAAATGGAATCATCTTAGACATCTTATCTGACGCCAAATCTACTGACAAGACAGAAAGACTACAGCCCACATGGAATCATTGCATTTCATAACAAACTCATTTTTTATTAGGCTGGTTTCATCATGCCTCAATGCAATAATATATCCCACTGAAAAAGAAAAAACAACTTTTCAATTTATTTGGTATCATTTGACTGACTCACTATAGGCATTACATATGCAAAGGTCCACAGAAACTGTTTTATTGATTTAGTTGTTTCACAATAAAGTCATGAAGGAATAAATCTTTCCCTGCCCATCCCTCTTATCTGCTCAAACACAAAAAGTATTTTTGGTATCTTAGAAGTTTCTGATTTGGGGCTTTGTGGAAGATGGGAAGATGTGGAAGATGGGAAGTTTTCAGTGTGGAATTGTTTAAATAAACACACCCATAATCTCAGGCATAAGATACAAACACTGAGAACGAGTCAGAGTTTAACTGAGGTTGTGTTTATATTTACATCATCCATACATATCATCTGCCTAATCAGTTAACACATACTGACAGCAGTAGGTAAACTTCAGTTTCTGCATCCTAATCAATTTATTTTCTGGTCACACATCAATGGATCTTATACCATAAATAGTATTCTAAATTGCACAACACATTTCCAGTATCTTGGAAATCAATCCTAGCAATTCATCTTATTAGCAAGAAATGAAAGTTGGATACTAAAATGTTATTCATGTAGGGGGAGCAGCAACTGATATATATACTTGCTTATCATCTTAAAACCTGCACTTAAAGTAGCCCAGCTTTCATCTCAGTCTAAATATAGAGGTTGGCATAGATGAATGGGAGGAACTGCCCAAGTCACTGAGCCCAGTCTCCTTCAGTTGAAATCAGTCATGCAATAGATGCCTACTACCTCTCAGACACCTTCTTCACTCTTCTCACTATTTATATCCAAGGAGAGATCTGCAGTATGACAGTTTTTCTTGTTGTCATCATGGTACTGGCACACAGAGATTGAACTAAATCCCTTCCCAAGGGATAGCAGGAAAATGTATACACTACATACATATTGGACATTTCACATTTGTAACTCCATTTTCATTGGTGGTGAGTGACTCCAGCACATCTATCATGCTTGGAAGTGCTTTAGTTATGAGAGCTTTTTTAAAAAAAATGTTATGATTTAATTTGTGAATCTTGTCCCATGAAAATTTTAATTCTTGCAACAACTGCAAGAACAAATTTCACCTTTGACTCAAAAAGTCATTAGTTTTTTTTCATTTTTTTAGTTAGCTTACATTGGTTTAGTGCCTTCCTAGCATAGATTAGTAACAACACTGTGAAGAGGAGGAACACTTCAGTGTAATCATGGTAGTTCAGTTTAACATTCAGTGAACTCACAGCATCAGCTCACAGCAAGACAGTCGCTGCGACACTCAGTAGCTGAAGACCCTGCATCAACTTATCTTTTGATGACAGAGCCTTTTGTTCTACTTCTACTTAGAAGGATACAATTTTATTCCTTTTAGACAGCACATAATGTGTAATTTCTCTTTCAACTCTTCAGCCTTTTGAATTAATAACTCCCTCCTTTCTATTGTTTTCCCTCAGGTCTTTTTAAGTCTACCATGCTGGACTTTAAACACCTTTCAATAATCACCTTAAATTAGTTCAGTCTTAGTTTTCGATGGATCTAAGCTCTAAGACTTTGCAAATGAACAAAAATATTTGATAAATGAAGCTGACTCACAATGGAAACATCTATCAGCTGTCTTTACAATGAATAATTCTGACTTTTACAGAATTCTACATTTCTCTACTGTTACATCCATTATTGCTGCTATTTCTATTGCTCTGTATGACACAAGTTTCTTTTCTACTATGAATAGTCTGCATTCTTTTGTTATTAGCAGTATGGCAATTAAGCAGTTTTATTAGCGTTAGTAATTATCTCACAAAGTACATTCCAGGAGATACCCAATGCAATGCAATGTAGATTTCCCTTAATTTTCCAGTCTGAAAGTCTCCTCTTCTTAGAATACTAGCAAAGCGATTTCTCCTTCAGAAACATCCTAAGACAACATTTGTTTGGGAGAATTTTTTTGTCTATTTTTATGTCTAAAGTCTGGAAAAAAAAAACTTAGTAAAACATTTCAATGGCACAGGCACTGGGGGCAGGAGTTTTCTGAGATTTTCCATTTTTTCTAAACTTAATCTTTGAAGAAAAATGTTCACTACATGTTTTCCAAGTCTTACTTTATATTAAACTTCTCCAGTCTTTTCTGGAGTGGGCGAGCAGATGCAGGGCTTGCTATTTCATTATCTGCATTTGAAACAGAGTGAAAGCAATATTCCCACTGAGCACATTCAGAAGCAGGCAGGGAACAGAGCAATTGTCTATTCTGGAAAGCTCGGTCGAGTTAGACCTCAACATATTGTCATGAACACGGATGGTCAGATTTATCTGAACAGGTCTAAGCAGACACACGTACACACGTCAGTGCTAGGGCTGGCTTTGTGAACAAACGCTTTCTATGAGCACAGCAGTAGTGGCCATTTCCCATCTCATGGCTTCCTTGCAAGAACCAATATGGTTGTTCTGATAGAACCTGCCAAAAGCAGTTCAGCCTGTCTTTCAGAGCTCTTCATCATCCAGAAATGGTAAGAAGGACATGGATTTTTGCCCTTAATCCTTTAAAAGGGATTTTTTATTCTTCTTTAGTTCTAGAACTTTTTTAAAAGCTTTCAATTAAAACTGAAGAGATGGAGAACCCTTGCACCCAAGCAGTGAATTTTGTTTAGGGCTATATACATGCTTTCATTTCCTTTGCCTAATCACCATTTTCTGTCCAGCTCGAGAGTCAGTATTTCTGGATAGACCAGAGTTGGGGCTTAGTCTTGCACTCCAGTTTCCTACTTGGAAATGGGATTATTTCACAAGAATAACAGTTAATAGTTCCTCTCATTGCTGCTTCTTCTCCCTAGCTCACATCTCCAAATAAAAAAGACCCAGTTAGTTTGGCATAGAAAAAAAATAACCATTCGATATCTTTTTCAGCAAGAGAAAGACAAAGCAAGCCTCCACTTCTCAATCTCCCAGTGATCCATAAACTAATGCAATAACAAAATACAACATATACTTAGGTGATTTAAACTAGTTTATATGTACCCCAATTGGAAAATATGTGAAGTAAACTGGGTACAGTTTCTTAAAAAAAAAAAAAAAACACTTGCAACCTTTGCTGACTCAGGTTACTAATTTTTAAGGAATCTCTCCTTTTGTCACCAGTGATTAGAATTTCTTAGAAATGTCATAGAGACAGCGTGTTTTATAACAGAGTGCTTAAATTAAGAAATCTATTTTAGTATCTCTTTCATTACTGTCACAGAGGATTCTTCCAAACTGTGAACAGCACAAGTTTGATATGATTGTCTTTAAGGTCAAGAGAAGTTAATAGTTGCAGTCAGGGGTGTTAGACTAGCTAACCTCAAACCTATGAATATGTGAATTAATGATCAAATGTAACCTTAAAATATAAATAAATTTGGCTCTCTGTTAAAATGTATCTATTTCCTTGCAAATAATTTCTGAAGGAAAACAACACAGAGAGCTGTTTTTTCACAGTTGTGCCCTTTATTCACTTTACTGCTAGACTTCAATGAGGTTGCACTGAATCAGCCCACAGAGCCTAAGGGAGTTTTGCCATGTGTAGACCCTGGAAGCAACCCTGTCAAGCAAAGGCAAGCAGTTGAAAGGTATCAAAGCAGCTTTCTATCAAGTTTTGCTGCTTAGCACTATAAAAGCAACAATAGAGTTTGCTTTTGCCAAGCTAACCTTAGCCTCCTTTTCCACCCCCACTGCCACCCAATGCCGTATATTTTGATTGGTACTTTTTTCTCAGCAACAAAAATTATTGGTTTGGGGGAGAAGTACCTTAGGATAGCAGCTTTTTACTTTTTTAGGATTGCAGAATGACTGAAACTCAACTTTCTGCTTCCAGACAAGCCTCCTCAAAAGTGCTGTTCACTGAAGTGAAAAACTAGAGTCAAAAAATGAAATTAAGTGTCTTATAATAATAGTTCTGGCCTTTTCTGTGTAATTTCAGAATAATTTGACTGCAACATCTGTGGATTACGGCCTTCTAAAGAGAAACAGTTTAGTCTCGCTTTGTTTAGAGTAAGAATATGTAATTTTTAGAACTTCTTTTTTTTCAATCTATTTTTGCCTCAGAATTGCACAACTTTCTGGCCTCATCTTTTC